GAGAGAGAGAGAGAGAGAGAGAGAGAGAGAGAGAGAGAGAGAGAGAGAGAGAGAGAGGGAGAGAGAGAGAGAGATCAGCGAGTGTTGCTGTGCGCCACGGCTACGTCCACTTGTTGCTTATAATAATTATAGAATGCGGCCTCACACATGCATCCATGGGACTCGATCAGACTACTAGCTTTGAACTTATGTAATCTGCCAGTCCCTCCACCTGGCAAAGTGTGTTTGACCACTTTTCGATCCCAGTCGAACTAGGGTTGTGCAACCGAGAGGTAGTACATACCTAACAAACTGTCCATGGGGAGATCGCCGCTGACCAGGAATGAGACACGATGCCTCAATTCCCCTCCCGTGTACGGGAACAGACACTCAACGTCCTGAAGGTAGTCGTTAACTACCATGCGCTGTTTGTTGGCACAGGTCGACTCCACAGGTCGACTCAGGCGCTGCACTCGCCCCAATAAGCGCAGCCTCTCAACGCACGCGCGCCTAATGAAATTCCTCGTCGAGCAAGTGTCATAATAGGCCCCGGTCTTGCGACCGCCAATGACTACCTCACTGATGAACACCTCAGCCTTAGGAGCTTTGACTAGTGACTAGTGTTGTCCAAGAAGCTAGTGGGTCTGACTTAGACCACTCCTCCTCTAGCTCCTCTAAGGACTCAAACACATTCATCGAACAGAGGGTCGATGGGTTTGAATGTGTTCGCGGGACGACGGTGGAGTCAGTAGCTTGGGCCATCTCTCGAGATGGTGAGGGTGTGTCCACCACCTCGACCCTAGCAGGAACAACTACTATTCCTATTGGCCTGAACGAGTTTCCGGGAGCAGTGCCTGAAGTACTGGCAACATTGCTACCAACGGGGGCAGAGGATCCTACCGCCTGCCCCATAGTAGGCGGGATCTTCTCGGTAACCTTCTTATTTCGGCACTTGAACTGGTTATGGCCATATTTGCCATAACGGATACAAGCCTGCCATGTATACCGATCTCTCCACACGTCCTCTGTGAGACCCGCTTTCTCCCATGGAGGAGCATTGGGGTCAACTTGACTCCTGGACCGGGAACCTCCTCTGCGTCTACCAGTCCCCTTACCTTTTTGTTGCGTTACGACAGCGACTACTCCACCCTCTGAAGCCTCTACGCTGCCTGCCTCTGAACCAGCTCCCAACCGGGGGTCGTCGTCCAACTCGATGGTTGAACCATCATTGTCGACGAACATAATGCGCCCTTTCGCCTTCCAGTTGGGAGGCAGTCTTTTTCCTACCGTCCATCGAAGGGTTGTGTCCATGCCCTATCTTTGCTTCTAGGTCTAGGGCCTTGCTGAACGATGGAAAGTTGTGCACATTGATGTTAGCCTCAACTGCCAACTGATTCCTGATTGGCATCGGCAGACACCTCAGGTAAGTTGTCAGTAAGACTTGGGGGTCATAGCGAACCCCAGGGACACAGATCAGACGCTCTACTGCGTCTGTGACCTCCCTAACTGATTTGAACGAATGAGCGCTCAATGTCAGGATCGCGTCAGTGGCCTTTTGAGCCTCCTGAGGATCATGCCACCTTTCCTCCACCAGCTTGAGGAAGTCATCCAGCTTTTGGCTTGGCTGCCCAAGCGCGGAAGTCATGACCGTATCCCTGTAGCTGCACTAACCCACTCAACCATCTTGTTGTACCCTCTAGATAGGGGGCAGCCACAAGCACTTCCTCGTGCGGCAAGGTCAACTTACACTTAACATATACCGGCACCGCCCTCAACCATGTGTCGAGGTTTTCACCCCTCTTATCCCCTGAAAAGGGTTTAGGAGCAGCGATTGCCGTCTTCGGAACTCACTGTGTTTGTCCCTGCAATCTGTCCCACACTTGGCTGTGGACTCTGGGGAAAAGGTTGTTGCACCTGTTGCTCCTGGGGCTGTGACCCCTGCGGCTGAACAGGTTGCGGAACAACAGATTGCTCACTGATGGCAACCTGCGACGGAGGTTGGGATAACACTGTCTGTACAGGAATTTGGACACTAGGTCCTGCTGATAACCCTCCCAATAGCGGCATGCCCAGGGAAACGATAGCGATTGGTGATGGGGCTACATATGGGGATACCCCACTAACTGGTGGGACAGGAGGAGGAAGATGTGCCACGGGCCAGGCACCAGGCCCTGATGGTAATGGAGCCGCCTGCGATTGTCCAACCAACCAGGCTAGACTCAGATGAATGTCTTGGAGGATGGCAGTCTGATGGTCCTGCGCCTCTATGACTCCTAGCAGGGCCGTCCGTACTGTCCTCACATCCGTATCCATGTTGGTCAGATTCATTTCCTCTAACTGCCTAACGTCCGCTTCTCTTCGCTGCATCCTGGCTACTCTTCTAATCATTCCCTCTTTCTCCGCCTTTATTTCCCCTAAAGCCTTTTGTAGCTGTGCCTCTTGCAGGGCAGCCTGCTGTATGGCGATCTCCTCGGGTGACAACACATTTGACTGGCTTGCCATAACGCCAGCCGACCGACTCTGGGTCTGCGCCGCAGTTGACCCGACCGTTCCTGAACTCCCAGCCTGAGAGGTTTGCTGAGCAGCGCTAGCCATGGCTACTAAAGCAGCGGCTTTACTTGCTAAAGCTCTACTGGCTTCTGCGTCCCTAGCTCTCTGCTGCTGCTGCAGCCTCTCCCTACGCTGGTGGAATAGGTATCTGTCGCCCTCTGGTCCTAATGCCAAGTGGGCAATTGGGCGTCTTGCTGATCGCAGGATCCGGCCGTCTGGTTGCTGTTCCTCCCTATAGCTCATAAGCTATAGCACTGAGCACAGTCTGAACTAGGTTACAACCACAACGTAATGCCCAGACCAATTTAAAATAAATAAATAATTAATTGGTGGCTAATTCGGAGTAGATACATTTGGGTCAAACAAGTAAGTGCAGATTCCTGCAAGTAACACTATTCTACTTTGATTAGTCCGCAAACAGAAGCACAAAGAACAATGAACAGTTCTAAGCTATGCTGTCTGTCAAATGTCAATGGCTGTACATCTAACTAGTCAAAATAAAAATAATGTCATTTGTTGGGTCTGTTCACAACATGGAGTCTTTTTCAAACTTATCACATGGAATCTACCCTTTCCCCTAATCCCACCTGATTGTCACTTAACGTCAGCATCCCTGGGCGATCCGGTAGCGTGCGTGACTAAAGGTGTGCACACGGCCCACCCCTGTGCCCCGAGTAGCTGCTGAGCTGGCCAGCCCTGCACAGTTCTTACCCTCGCGTGCAGCGAGCCTTACCAACTGGCTGATCAAGAGGCAATTTAACGACCGGCCCCAAGTGTCTCCAGGAATTATTTTACGTCGCAGCCGGACGACGATCACAGCCAGTGGTTTCCCCCTGCCGGTGTTTATTTATAGACGCCCGATACTCGTCTCTCCCATAGGGATGGCCTGCCCTTTAGTACCCCTTCGATGAGCGCAACAAGCAGACAAGGACAAAGCAACAAAGCATGCGTGCTCTACTCCCGGTGGGTTGGCATGGTGACCGTGACCCAGTGCTCCGTCCAGGGCCCTTCAGAAAGCACCGCCCTCTCCTTCCAGATGCTCCACGGGAAGTATGCCGACTCTCAAGGTTGTGCGCACACGACACCTCACATGAGAGGACTCTCAAGATGGAACTCACAACCTCACGGTAAGAAGTGATGAAGAGGGTAGATAAGGTTAAGAGCAACGTACCTCAATATAGCTGCCCCCAACCACAAATATTCTCACCAGATGACCTGATGGCGATTGCGATGACCAGTCACTGCATCGGCACAACCAGCATTGTCTCGCCGTTCCACCTCAGCATCAATCAACCACCAGATAGTTCTCATCACACTGCGAATACCCCGATATACACACCGTAGCCTTCCAGGCGATCCCCTCACCTCCTGGGTCACCTAATCTTGTCTCCGCCCTCCTCACTACACACCGCCTACGACCATACTCACCAAGCAGACCGCATGTATGTATCGCATAAGGCAAAAGACAAGCGCCAGATGAGCGCAACGTACCACAACTCTGATACCAATTTGCAAGGAAGATGAGCAATAGCGAACTTCAGCAATCAAACAGCATCATACATATGAGACCAGATAGTCGTGACCTCGAACCAACAACAAAATTGCATCACGAGTTTCACCGAATAAGAGCACACCAAGAGTTCATAATTGACAATGCTGAAATAGTCCCATCATTATCATCAACGAAGAACCAATGTTGGTATCCTATGTGGCACTCGGCGCCCAGACTACAGATGGCAGATCCTATCTAGCCTATACTACAATGTCGAAGATGACGACAACAACTTCACCGAAGTACGAGCAGATAGCGGCCAATGCCGCACGCTTATAGCACCAGGTATGTCTCTCGCTTCACTCACAACCTCGTTCCCCAACACACAGATGCCACATGCACCCAAGGACCACTGTTACATACTCGTGAAGGTCTGAACGAGTATGGGGCAGAACCAAAGATCAACCAATATAGGATGAGCATGTATGCAGCGGAAGTTTGATAACGGACAGACTCATATAGACTGACTCGCACAGATATCACTCCACACACATACAATCGTGAGATGGTGGGGTCTGAGCCATACATGGAAGATGCTCAGGCCCCGTACACACATACACAGATGAAAGGTGGGAGGAGAGACGAAGGAGGTGGGGGGAGGTAGACAGCACCGAAGGTCACCGAGATAGAATCCGATAGGTCACCGAAGAGACGAAGGAGGTGGGGGAGGTAGACAGCACCGAAGGTCACCGAGATAGAATCCGATAGGTCACCGATATGGTAGTCCAAAATGTCATCAAACAAGATCAAAATGTCGAGGACAATAAGTCACCCATGTCGGAGATACAGAGTCCAAATGTAACCAGTGTCCGAACTGTGATGCCGCCGAGTATCAACCCCAACAATCTCCAAATCTTGAATCCGGTAAGTACCACAGCCTCATACCACCGAAGTCCAACACTGATCTCTGTCCAACTAGTATGAAGTCTCCAATCTGAAGAAGAAGAAGAAGTCTGAAGAAGAAGAAGAAGAAGTCTGAAGAAGAAGAAGAAAAAGTCTGAAGAAGAAGAAGAAAAAGTCTGAAGAAGAAGAAGAAAAAGTCTGAAGAAGAAGAAGAAAAAGTCTGAAGAAGAAGAAGAAGAAATCTGAAGAGGGAGAAGAAGAGAGTCGAGGAGGAGAGAGAGAGAGAGGGGACTGACGACGGGAGGGAGGAGAGAACCTCCGGCTCCCGATACCTCAGGCGGCTATGGCCGCCAATCTTGCTCAGTCGCCACTGCTGCTGCTCCGCTTGCTGCCGCTGCTGCGATGCCGCTGCTACTGCTGCTCCTCGTGCCCTGCGCTAAGATTAGCGCTAGCGCTCTGGCGCTAGACCATAAGGCACCGGTAGAGTGTCGGTGGTTCGATCCCGAACTGAGGCTGGACCGGTATTTTTGTACCGGTGGGGCAGAGGCCGGCCTCTATGCTGCGAGGCCTGGCCGTGCCCTGAACCGTCAAGATCGACGGTTCAGCCCCAACCGGCGGGCGGCAGCCTCAAGAGCGCCGCCAGGCCCAAACGGTAATGTCGTTTGGGCCTGCCCGTCGGGTCTGGTCCAAGATGAGGCCTTTACGGCCTGTAGTACCCCCAAGGTCGGGCCTTTAGGTCCTATTGTGTCCCTCTGGCCCTAAGTCGGGTCCGGTAGGACCCGTGTGGCGTCGAAGATGCAACACACTCCCCCTCTTAAAAGACCGAGCTGCCTGCGAGGGTGAAGTTGTCTGTCCGATACCGGGATGGGTCGGG